GGGAAAGAGATAAGCAAGGTCACTGATTTGAGGAATTGCAAAGTGGTAAGGTCAGAATGAAAGGCAAAGGTGATTCCAGGAAGGAGTGTGGCCAGTTGGCCAAAATCCAAGAAAGAACAAGGGTGGGGAGAGATTCCTGGCACTGGTATAATATTATGGGTGCAGGGGCGACTGCCAAGGTTTCTGACAAGTGAGAGAGGGAAGAAGACTCTTTGACCGGTTTTTATTCCACCCTCAGAGACAGGGGGTTGGGGCAACATTTCCCAACTGCTAAGTTTTAAATCCTTCTCTTAAATTGCAAAAAATATATTTTCTCAAGGATGTTATAATCCATAACTTCCCCTTTTGGGTCAGTGGGCAGCCACCAGCCCACCATTTGTGCCCACAAATCCATCTGCCTTGAGATGAAATCCATCAGCAGATGTGGCAAGTAATGAACCTGTTCTTTCAGTGATTTCAGACAAGATACTGGTGGTCTACCAAAAGGCTTATATTGAAAATAGAGGACAACTTTCTTCTCCTAAGCATCCAGAATTCCTGCTACTCAGGTAACTGCAACAAATACAGTGTAAAATATTTTCTCCATAATTAAAACTGGAAGATGGAAAAAGAATGTGGAGTTGGGTAGAGAGGAATAAACCATATACGTTAAAGGGCAGTAAACAAACTTCCAAGATCAGTGACTTTCCATCTTTAGTTTGCACTGGTAACAATAATTCTAGGAATCTACCCCGAGGACTTAAATGGAAATTCATGTATAAGAATGTCCATCACAATTTCATACAATAAAAAATTAAACATATGCTACATATTCAATAATAGGGAACTGGTTCAATAATGGAATTAGTATAAATCCATCCAATGGAAGCAATGCCTGCATTTTATAAAAGCTCATATTTAGAAGAATATTTAATAAGAACATATTTATACTAATTTAAGTTAAAAAAAAGCAGAGTAAACAAAAATATGTCCAAACTGGATTTTAAATACCGTGTAAAATATTTTTTCCCTGCATACAGACATTACAGTTCTCAGACTTAAATAGGTATGATAGGTTGCAGCCTGTACAGTTAAAACAAGGCCTTGAAGACTAGCTTTACACATACAACTGTACTCTTGGTTTCCCACCTAATGACACCAAATAAGAGCCTCTATTTATGAAGATGATCTGAAGATAATATGATGAAAATGTTACCTTGTGCCAGCCCTTTAAAGGCCATTTTCTCTTCTTTAGCATAAAGCCTTCATGTTTGTCTGGTCTCTGGACATTGGTTTGGCCTATTTTCAGCCCTTCTATAATTTCCCAGCTGTCAGCTTCCTGAGAGAAAAGAAGAAAAATAAATCACATGTTTTTCAGTGTTTGATGACACACTTAAAGCGGATTCTTAAGTAGAAATTGCTTTTAAAGCAATACTCAACCCACCAGAAGTATGAACAACATTCTGGAGCAAATTCTAACCTCAGACCCACCTATGCACTTATAATTGAAGTGAGAATGCGTTTCCGGGTACACCTGGAGGTATGAGGGTCCATCAGAGATGAGCTGGATGGAGGCGGAGTCTGGGGTAGAATGGACTTTTGATTGCCTGCATTCACAAGGTTTAAAATGCATTTTTTCCAGACAGTTCATCTCTGGGCACAGAGACACTTTAAAGTTTTAAAATAAGATCATTTTGGTGAAACATGTTCAATTCGTGTGTGGGCCTGGTTTTCTGTAGAAATGAAAAGGCTGCAGCAGCTTAAGTGGCTCATGACTTCTCATGCTGAAGAGCAGCCCTGTGGGCATCTGTTTCCTCTCAGTGAGGCTGCGTGCATTTCAGAGTAAGCATAAAATGCCCCGCTTGCCAAATACCCACCAAGAAGTCCGTCCTTCGAAGACATACATCGTGAGATACACATACCCTTAGGAGCCCATGACAGAGCCAGAAATCTGGGATTCTAGAATCCATATTACCCTTCTCTGTTAAAAACAGACTAAATCATGGTTTCCTCTTCCATGAGACATGTTTTGTTCGTCTATGGTGTTAAAAAAAGTTTTAAAAATGAATTGTCAACATTTTAAACATCAGAGGATTTCAGGCTTTAAAAATCCAAATTTCTAGTGTTTTGTGAAAGCCTAAGATCTGGCAATGCTGGGCCTGCCCTGAAGGATGGCTTCCCGTCTTCAGTTTACCACAGTCCCCCTTGGGTCTGCTTCCATGTTAGATACCTGCCCCTCAGCAACATCCTGGGTTTTAAAATCCCTGGACCAGGTGATTTCTAAGGGCTCATGCAGCTCTAAAGTAACTGCTGATCTGGCAAACACTCATATTCTAGATCTCAGGCTTGGGGCACAATCAAGCAAAGTAGAGGCAGGAACAACGAGGTCACATCCCATGCACAACTGCTGCAATCCTGCCCACGGTGCAAGGAAGCAAAATCTCTCAGCATAACCTGCTCGGCTGCCTCAGCTCTGGAAAGACGGATGCAGCTCCACGGATCAGGGCAGGACCCTCTGCAGAACGCCCCAACCCAAACTGACTCAGGAAGCTGCCTTCTGACATGTTCTATCAGAAATCATCTTTAGACCACAGCACAAAGACTTCAATGGGAATGGCAGTGGGTTCCATTTCAGGGCCACTGGACATGCTGGCCCAATGTCTGGGTGGTGGCTGCCCAGAACCTGCTGCAGGACTGTGAGGCTCTGACAGGACCCAGGGGCGAAGGGGCCGCAATCGGTTACCGATGTCGGCCACAAGAGCAGGGGGCGAGAGGGCTGTGTATTTGCCATCCACGCCTGTTTCCCCTGTCTTCTCCTTTCCTCTCAGAAGGTGCTTGCCCTATGGCCGAGTCAAATCTAAGCCCAAATATGTGTACATAGAGGGGGATTTTCACCGAAAATTGTTTCCAGGAGATGTGGCTGATCATTGCTTCATGCAAAACATCATGAAGCCTAGGAGATACTCCTGGCTTCTGAAGAGCCCTCTAAAGCCAGCATCGTGCTTCTACCCTATCTAAGCCCAACCCTACAACCACCACTGCCCTGAGAACCAATGTGAGATCAGTGTTATTTCTCCATCTGCTTGGTCATCCCTGAGGGGTGCCTAGTGAATGAACTACAGCCCTTACAGAAACGCACCTACCGGTGTTCATTTGGCAATATTAAGAACCCTTTGAAGGAGCTGTAAATTTCCCCTTAACATATGAAAACAACCCCCAAAGTGATTTTCTACTTGAATACTGTCAGAAACTGTGATTGGTCTGAACTGTTAATTAGATACAGTAATTTTAAAATGTATATTTCTCTATGGAATGTGTATCCCTCTAAATAAATCCATTTCTTACCTAAAAAACAAATTATATATATATATATATATATATATATTTCTGATGAGACAGTTTCAGGCTCTATACCATGTTTTTTGGACAATAAAAGGGATTATCATCAGGAGTACAAAGCAGAGCGTTTTGGAATTTTCATTTTTTAATAATGAATTGCAATTGAATTCAGGGGAGCATTGCTTATAAATAATGTTAGAATAACAGAAGAAAATAGTAGGTTCTCATAAAAAGTCCAGTATCTTTGGCTTTTTACTCTCATCAGCAAAGTAGATAAAAATGATGGATTCTTATTCCATAAAAGCGATGGATTTCTATAGATTTCTTTTAGAAAGCCTTGATATAATCAAGAAATTAAAAGAATAACTCTCTATATATGTGTATGTATATTCATTAGTGCTCTCTCTGTTCTTAGAGAGATATCAGCTGTATTTAATGATATTTCTATTTTTAGTAGCCCCATCCATAGATACCATCTCCAGAAGAATAGCATTTTTATTTTTGGCTAGATCTTATCTTATCTGAAGGCTAGTGTTCATCTTTGATTTACTCTGTGTGTGTGTGTGTGTGTGTGTGTGTGTGTTTGTGTGTGTGTGTGTGTGTGTGTGTGTGTGTGTACATATATGATGAATACTCTGGATTACTAATGAAAATGGAAGCATTTAATAATAAGTACAAATGCTTTTTGAATTTTTTTCTAATTAAAATCAGAACGCAGTAGTAGCTTGTCCCTGTGGAGCTATGACTACTGATCTCTATCACAGCAGTTTTTTTCTTCTTTGGGAATTTAACCACAGAGGGAAAAAAAATGGGGGGGTATAGATAAGTAAGATAGGAAAAGCAAGAAGTTAAAATGTATTTTTTAAACATAAATGCAGCAGCTCGGAACAAATAATTCCACTCGCTCTCATGCAGAATTACTAAACCCAGCAAAAGAAATTAGGAAGAATCCTAACATAGTTCTTAGAGTTAAATAAACTATCAAACAGACAAAAAGGCAAAAGATAAAGCCAGAACAAACAACTTTCTCTACTTCAATTAATAAATACTGGGGACTTCCCTGGTGACACAATGCTTAAGAATCCACCTCCCAATGCAGGAGACATGGGTTTGAGCCCTGGTCCGGGAAGATCCCACATGCTGCAGCGCAACTAAGCCCATGCGCCACAACTACTGAGCCTGCATGCCACAACTACTGAAGCCCACACCTAGAACCTGTGCTCTGCAACAAGAGAAGCCACTGCAATAAGCCTGCGCACCACGACGAGGAGGAGCCCCTGCTTGCCCCAACTAGAGAAAGCCCGCACGCAGCAACAAAGACCCAATGCAGCCAAAAATAATAAATAAATAAATTTTTAAATAAATAAATACTGATGATAGATAATGTTACAGATAAGGTGTGTAAGAAATGAAATATCCCATCCCAGGACTTAGTACAATCCATCTCTATACTTAGTAGACCAGGTCTATCTTGAGAAAGCTAAAATTACTTTCTGAAAATTGAATAATTTTTTCATAATTTCAATTGATATTAATTTTCTGCTTAAAAGCCACCAACTTCCATAGGTTTACTTAGAAACAGAGTCAAAAGTCCTAATGTGATCACATCAGTACTTGAATCAGATTATACATACATTTTTGCTCTTACAGAAGCTTTAAAAAGACCTTTGATGTAATAACAATACCTAAAAACAGAAAGTAACCTAATTATAGCCGCAGTCTGCTCATTTGGAAAAACCAGAGACACTTCCTTTCTCAAGGGTATATTCTCTGTGCATGTGTGAGTGGGCGGGGGATACATGGAATGCTTTAGGAGGTGAAAGCACCAAACAAAGAAACTGGAAAAATCCTGAGACAGTAGTATGTGTACTTCAAACAATGTTCTTCCACCACCAACCAGTGCCCAGGAAGCCCATCTTCTCTCAAAGGGGCTGAGAGATGGTGAGATGCTATGGTGTCTGGATTGGATGGGATTCTCTGATTTCATTGGGTCCCAAGAGATGTGTTATCTATTAACACAAAAACACAACAAGAGTATTAGTTGTACAGCAAGGTCTAAGCGGGCAGCTGCACGGAGGAGTAATGGGAAGTGGATACTGTTGGTGCCCTACCCAGATCCCTGTATCAGGCCAGTGGACCCATGTCCCAGCTGCTGTGAGCACTGTGAAAGCTAAGGCTAACAGCTTCCTTCTTCTACCAGGAATTGCTGTTTGGCCAAGCTGGGGCCTTCACCTGGGAAATTATGCTGTAGTATGACCCTCCCCCATGGCTCTCAAGGACTGAAGGACACAAGGGTACAAACAGCTGAGGGAATGAAAAGTCCTTCTTGCCTCAGGGTGAGTCCAACTCTGTGATGTAAGTCATGCTCCAGAGCTCACCATGGGATCAGGCTGAGGGTGGACTCCAGCTGGAACCCCCTCTTGCTTAGCACCGACTCCTGTCCTAACCTCTTCGCTCAGCCCTTTCCTCCTAAGGGATCTTCCTCCATAAATCACAGGCACCCTAAGCTCAGTCTCAGGTTGTCCTAGGGAATCTGACATAAAGGAAGAATGTGAAATAAAGTAATGAGTGTGGTAAGTACAGCGACGGGGCTACACAAGACAGCCTGGGGCTGAGGGAGACAATGACCAGTACTTGAGAAAGGGTTCCTGTGGGCCTAATTTTAAAGAAGTTGGAGTTCATTTAAATGAAGAAAGGGGAAGGGAGCAGGACAGCAT